TTACCTTTATTGCTGATGCGCTGGCATCTGAATTCTTCTTTACTCATTTATTTTCATACATTTCGAGGGAACATCTTGTTTATGACCTTTTAAGTTCTGTGGTACAAGATGGAGCATGGCTAGAATGAGTCATGAAAGCAATCAGCAAGGTCTTCAACAGAATTCTAAAATAGGCAGGCAAGTTCATAAAAACTGTCAAAATAATAACAGCAGCATTTCTATTTTTTTTTTTTTTCTTTTTCTTTTTCTTTTTCTTCCATATCATGAAAAGAAAAATTGGCTTGAGTTTGGACATTGTTTTGAACTGATAACAACCATTTTGAACAACATAGCTGATTAGTGTGATGTAACGTCACATACAGGATGATGTGGCCTAGCTTACTGGTTGGATAACATTTGGACTTGGACCAAAGGTGTTTAGTTTTGTTAAGGTTTAGCAAAAGGAAATAATTTGCCATTCCGCTTTTAATGTTTTCAGAAGTTCAGGACAGGCTGTAAGGAATCCCCAGATTTTAGTGGGAGTAATAGGTGTGCATCATCAGCATAGAATTGATAGTAGATCTTAGATCTCCTAATAATGTATTCAAATAGAAGCATGCTGACAGAATACAACTTAGCTCAGAATAAATCTCTGAGAAACCCTGTAGATGACAGAGGTAAAAACTGACCCTCAGCCACTGAGAATTTCCTGTGTTTAGGATTTAGGTCAGTGTAGTCTTACACCCTTAACACCAACTGACTTTTTGAGATGTGTGCAAGAGAATGTCCACATTGTCGAAGAAGGCACTAAGATGGTTCTGTGAGGTACCATTTGTGTAATCTAGAATAAAATAGTGATTTAAAACATCAGAAAACAAATACAATACCGTTCTCCAGGTTCCTAAAATATCTCTTCAAACCAAAAGTCTCATCCCTAGAAATATTCAGTTCTCAATATACACAACTAAATCTGCTAAACCTCACTTTTGAGAACCTGGAACTGGAAAATGTTCACATTTGCTGTGAATTTACTGTATAGATGTACACTACAACTTTAAAACCTAGTCAGTTTCTAAGTATATTCATATGATTAATTTCCTGTTCTTTGTGTAATTAATTAGTCATCAGATTGTTTTATCACTGTTGTAAATGGTGGAAGTTTTAAAAAGTTTACGTGCTGCACAGTTACAAGCCAACATTAGCTATTGTTGCCATTTCAGGCTTGTTGTAATCATAAGCCTAATTGTAAGCCTACTCCATTTGAATCTATAATGATTACTCTGTCTGCATCCGTAATGCAGAAGTAGAGTCAATTTGGGGAGTCAGACAAAAGAGGCTTAGTAGCCCTTGTGAAAGAGTCATGCATAAATTCAACCACACAGACAGCATCTGTAATTTTGGCATCAAATTGCAGACAGAAATGCACAAGGAGGCCTTAGTTCTCTCTTGCTTTCAGGTGAGATAAATACAAGTAATTATCTAATGATCTTTCAAATAGCTTCCTCAGACCACAAGTGGAAGCCGTTTGATCAATGCCCCCTATGTACTCTTAGAGAAACTACATAATAAAGAAACACAGCACAGTGTCTTGCCTTACTGACTTAGGTATTGATTTGAGGGGAAGTGCACTGTTTGCAGAGTATGAGCTGAAATTACTCAAATGCGGCAACACAAATGAGTGGCACATCAGTAATAGTCCAAGGCAGAACTAGTCCAACAGTTGTGGGGCAGGAAGACTGCAGTGACAGAATATGATCAGTGTTCAATGCCTAACAAGAGTACCTTGTTTTCAGCGAAAAATGAATAGTTGCTATTGCTAAGGTGACAGGCAGATATATTTTTAACTCAGGCTGCCAGAGTTACTAGACCTGCATTCTGAAAGTGCACGCACATGTGGCCAGGCAATGAGTCATTGATAAATGACAGCAAAAAGAGTAGATCTTTTAGTCTGCACCTTCCTCTCTACCCATAACCCCACTGTTTGTTGTAGCTAAAGCACATTAGCTCGCCTACAACTTTGCTAAAACATAATATCAAATTGTAATATTGGATTAGGTCAACCTTGCATATTTTAGCTGGGACTCAAATTTAAAGAATAAAGATACAACCAATCTTGTCAACCAGGGGAGTGAGGCTGACAGGATTGGTTCCTTAGGTTTGATACATAAGAATCATGGCTGTCTAAATCTGTGTTTCTGAGACTTTAATTGTCATCAGGACTCTGCAGTTTGAAGGTAAAGATGCTCAGCAATGTTGTTGTTTGCCTGTTTCGCTCAGATGTGTCCTCCAGCATATAACAAACAACATACAGACATGTCAACATGGTCAAAAACCTGATGCCCAACAGAGTGGCTTCTTAAAGGGTCCCTAACTCACATTTACTTGCTTAGATACATTTCTTGGAGTCCTGTCCAAAAAGGAAACATCAAATAAGAGATTTCTTTTTATTGTGCTTTTTTTTTTTGTCAGAGTCCTTTAAGTTCAGTTTGCTAAACTCCACGAATGTTATCATTTGCGTTTCACTCAGAGGTCTGACAGATGGAGGACTGCTGAGAGGGTTGTCTTTTCGTCAGGTACTCCCATCTCTGCAGAGAACCTCTGAAGTTCTGTTAGCATGACTTTTGGGCTCCTGGCCGCCAGCCTGACCGAGGACCTACTTTTTAGAGTAGTGCCAGACAACCAGCTCTATGAAGAGTCTTGGTGTCTTTTCAAATTCACAATTTTTGAGGCCACTGTGCTCGTGGGAACACTCAGAGCTTTAGAAATGGTTTCATAGTGTTTTACTCATCTATGCCTCACTGAAATGTATTCACAGAGGTGCACATGGAGTTCCTGGGACTTCATTTCTTGGCATCTTGTCTTCACTCACTATGTAGATTATGGGATCTAATAGTTGTGTTTCTTTGTAAATTATGTACATGGAATCTAATCAAGTTCAAGACACATCTCAGGGATGATCGAAGCAAGTAGGACGCACCTGACCAAAATCTGGACTAACACCACCACTAGTCTGAATGCTTTTTCTGTACACAAGTTCATGATATAGCTGCTTCTATTTTACATTTCTCAAGAATGGATCACTTATACAGAACTGTAGAATTTGGGATATTTTCATCTTCTCTGTTCGATGTCCACTGAGTTAGATGCAAGCAAAAGTCATACACACTCTTAAAATTGGAGTAGTAGTCAGCAATTATTAACCATTGGTCCACATCACTATCCTATAGGACAACACAACCAAGAACGTTAGTGCTGTTTGGAGAATTACTTCTACCTACTGTGTCTGGTTTAACTGTGGGAATATCACAGGAAATGGAAGCTAGTTTGTACCACTACCACCCTGACCAGTGTTCACACCCTATCAGTTCAAAGTTGTTAGATTGCAGGTCCTCTGGGACGGAAGGTGTGATGGAGGAGGATGTCGTGTAGGGAACCAGAAGTCTGTGTCTGGCTTTCTATCTCATGCTAGCTACGTGATGGTTATTAGAATTGTACCTAAAGGTGAACTTGTGATTATTAATTTTTCTTAGTGCCCTGCAGTAGCTGTGAATGTTGCGCCTCTGGACTCTGCTGCTTGATATTCTTTGCATCTGTTCGGGGACTGATTAGCACGAGGTGCTGACAGAATAAGCTGTTAACTGGCTGGTATAACATTAAATAGGGGAAACAGAAAACAGATTTCTCACATTGTATGTGACACAGAGTATATTTCTGCTGCATACTTTCGATTCAGTATGCTGGAGATCACCACTGAGAACCACTTACATAGGCTCAAAGTTAGACCTCATGTACTTGCAGATGTAAACATTTGATGGAGTTCCCTTTGGTCTTGGATTGCAACATAAACACTGGTCCAGCTTTCACTTTGCAGCCTAAACAAAGACATGACATGTTGTCAGGCTGAAGGAATTAAACAACTGGTTTTAATTCCTGACACCTTCAAACTGTTTTCTTCCCTTTTTTTCTTGTTCGTCCTCTTTTTCTTCAGCTATTTCTTGTAAGTCTGTTTTCCAGTTGTTTTCTTGTTGTTTTTTTTTTTTTACAGCAACTTACAAAATGAGTGATGTTTGTGTTTTTTTGCCAGATCATCTGATTATAAGTACACTTGAGTAAAAATGATATAATGTCTAGTGATGGAAAAATACTGGAGCATTCGGTTGGTATATAAATAGGTTTGCGTGTAACAAATGTGATACATACTGTATGTGCGTCAATATTGTTTCCTGTGTGTCCAGATAAGCACTTTGGTTCAAGGTGACACATTTAACTACTGGTCGATCATAAATTGGTTGGAGTACATTTGATAAAATGCCAAACATTGAATTTGTCTCATTTTCACCTTTACAGGTGTGTGTCAGGATATGTCCTCCCGCAGAGAAGTGTAGGTGAGGTGGTAATTGTGTTGTTGTTTTGATGTTTTTTATCAGATATCGGACATTCGTCTCAGAGGATGCAGGCCCCAACACACTTGTTGCCACGGTGCTGGCAAAGGACCCTGATGGGGATGGGATCACATATCGGATTACCACAGGAAACGAGGAGGGCAACTTCGTCATTGACAGCCAAAAAGGTTGGACATGATGGCTATATATATTTTTTTTTTTTTCTCTTTGAAAAATATATTCTTGTCTTTTGTTTATTTACATTTGAATTTAGTTTTTATTCAACCAAACTTAAGGTTTTC